AGTGAAAAAACAGCATAACTTCCCTAAAAGTGACCCGATCATGCTGATTTTCGAACTTGACCTGCGTATTATGAATATTCATTAGTTCTGTAAGTTTCAAGCCAAAAGAAAAAACAGTTTTCCACTTATCGTGTTATCGGTAAAAGTGCACGACGGCGACGACGGCGACGACGGCGACGACAGACGCAGATGATGGCTATATGTACAGACACATCTGTGTCTGTACATAATAAAAGTAAGTCATAAAACCCATGTCTCTTTTAAAAACACAAGTGTCAAGAACAAGATGGTTGACACTGACACGGCACTAGTTAGTGAACTGGTGTATGTTTGAACGAAGTGGTTTTTCTGCATGGATACTTACTGTCAGACTCTGTAGGGTTTAAAGGATCAAATGCATCAATACTACATTGCAGAATACAATGAAAACCAAGTTCATTTGGACGTCAAAATCTTGTGTAGCCCTCGGACGTTTCCGCGCGCATCCAAATTTGCCTCGCTTTGAATGTAGGTCATATTGTTGGAGGAATGGCGAGCAACAAACGGATAGTTTACGTCGGTAAGGCTTTCACTTAATTGAAGGAGATTAACTCCCTATATTATAAATGTTTAAAGTAGCTTTTATGCCAGAGCGAAACCATGCAACTTATGTATGGTGGGATTTTACTAAAACAAGAAAAACACTTTTGAGAAAACCGTGCATGAAATGTTGAAATTGACAAGTTGGTTGAGATAAATTTCATTCTTTCAGCACAACACGTGTTTTGATTGTAACAGAGATCTAGTTTCTTCTTGAACATATACTTAGTGTTTAAACGCTCTCAAGGCACGTGAAGTCCGTCTAATGAAAAAAGTAATAGTACGACCAGATATGCTGCACAGTTTATAGTTAACTTGATGAAGCCGGCCGGTGTGTGTTTGGGGGGCTTAATTGATCTTGTCACATTCATGTTCATGTCAACGCTATGATACGTTATAATATTCTCTCATCTTTAAATTAAAGGTGGTCTTGCAGAGGAGGTGGATGAGAAGATTCTCCATGCTGCTTTCATCCCATTTGGTGATATTGTAGATATAAACATCCCATTGGACTATGAGACGGGTAAGGAGTAGAGAACTAGAAAGGGGGGAGGGGGGGGGGGCACGCCAGGTTGTCTGCCACTTTGATCAGTTGATGTATATAAACCCCATAGAAAATAACTTTTATAATTGCCAATGATTTGAATATTGAAGAATTATGGATGAATTAGTAAATAAATAACTGTGTACTTATATAACCTATCAGGCTATATGAGACTCATCAATTACAAACTTTTGTGTTTGGTAGTACAGGTTGAATTCTCTAGCTTAGTAATGTCATTTTATTCTAAAATCTTCCAAAAGGCATGTCTTGTTGTTAACCTTGTATGTGACATCAATGTCCCTCACAGGAACCCTTTTATATCAGACCCAAAGGCATAACTGTATGTAATGATACTGATGTTTTGTTTTCAGAGAAACACAGGGGTTTTGCTTTTGTTGAGTTTGAACTGGCTGAAGATGCAGCAGCTGCCATTGATAACATGGTGAGTGAAAGAGTAATATGTAATTTATTTTTTATTTTAATATTTGGGCATATTGTTTCAGAGTCTAATATTTGTTTTATTTTTTTAAATTTTATGTTTTGGCACATTATTTCGATAAATTACAGTGATGGGGTAGCGCTAACACTCGCCAATTTAGCCAAATGCGAAAACTTGCTTAAATTGGCTAAAGAAAAAGGGCTTGATTTGACTTGTTTTAGTCAAATTATAACCATATTGATAACAAATTGACAAAAAAGTGGTGATTTGGCTAAGAGAAAAAAATTGCTAGCGCTACCCCGCATTGCTACCCCAGCAGTGCGTTATCTACTCACAGAACTTTGCACGTGTTTTAAGCAAAATCTATTTATAAGATAAAGTGAATTTTTAATTTCTATCCGGTAATGAAAATTTCCAATACCATATGGGAGGAATACTTCAGGTAGTTGTTTACACTGCATTGTTGTCTTGGAGATGGACAGAATTGTAATCGTATTATTTTTCATGTTGATCAGAATGATTCGGAGTTATTTGGGAGAACAGTGCGTACCAATCTGGCCAAGCCTATGAAGATTAAAGAGGGAGCCTCCAGAGCTGGTGAGTTCATTAACATCAAGGATTATACTATGGCTCCATTCAGAATAGGGGACTAACTAGTCCGAGGGTCAAATATGGCCAACCCAGTTGAATATATCCCCAAGGATATCTATTCAGTGTCTATTAGTGGATTAGACGGCAAGCTTTGTTGCGGGTCGCCATATTTGACCCTCTGTCTAGTTAGTACCCTATTCTGAATGGGGCCTATCACATTATTGGCATTTATTTTATTTTATTTTTCTTTTACTTTTCCAGTACAATTCTTGTCTTGTTTTTCTCGTCATCTTGCAAAGAATTTCATTTTGAAAGTAGCTGTTTTTTTGTACTATTGTTGAGCTTCTCTTTAATAGTTCCTATTGGCAACTTCAGTGTTATTGAAAATGAGCACACTAGCCGTAAACATTAAACAAAAAACCGTCTACATCAATTTTCCTACAGCACCATGATGCCTGATAGAGTTTTGGTGTCTGTTTAGTTGTTTTGATGACACAATTTTTTTAAAAAGAAAATTGTAGTTTGTATTAAATTTGACCACATCTAATATATGATGTGCTCTTCCAGTATGGTCGGAGGACTCCTGGCTCCAGGAACATGCTGGGGAGACACTGAGCAAGGGAGATAAGGAGAATGAGGAGGAGGCAAACAACAAGAGACCTGCTGAGGAAGCCGAGGATGTGAGTAGGAACTGAGTGAAAGGTCTAGAAATGACCAGATTTTAGAATAAAATGTTTCTTAAAAACAAAAACAAAATGATCAAAATAAAGAAGTGAATAAAGTTGAAATATTAAGTAGATTTTTTCACATTACATGAAATTTGAAGTATGTTAAAACTATTTCTTTTATCCAAGCACTATCAGTCATTAAGAATCTTAGATATTTTCATATGGTTGATAACATGAAGGTTGTAGTATAAATATAAAGATACCCATTAAGTTGACATATATGCCACCAGAGTGCAGCACCAGCCAAGAGGTCCAAATCCAATCCCCAGGTATATCTAGAAGTGAAGATTGGCAGTAAATCAGCCGGCAGAATTGTGATACAGCTGAGGGCAGACGTGGTACCAAAAACTGCAGGTATGTCCTTGTTTTGAAATTAGGAGTAGATTGGATTTCTTGGGTGTATATTATCATATACAACCAGTAGAGTACCTTGTATTTCCATGATTATTTGGGTTATCAGCTTTAATGAAAGATAGGCCCCTGTTGTGTTTTTGTTTTAAACTATTGTTTTTCTGTTTTCAGAAAACTTCAGATGTTTGTGCACACATGAGAAGGGCTTTGGTTACAAAGGCAGCATATTCCACAGAATAATCCCCCAATTTGTATCCTTTCCTTAACTGAGAGCCTGAAAGTTGCAAGCCATTTTTGAGAGAGAGAGAGAGAGAGAGAGAGAGAGAGAGAGGGGGAGGGAGGGAGAGAGTTAATGATATGAAATATGCTGTAACAAAATAAGTTAAGAACAAGTATCGCCCAGTATTTTTGTGTTGTATTTTTAAAAACTTAACTCTGGCCCCCAGATGTGTCAAGGAGGCGACTTCACCAACCACAACGGCACTGGAGGCAAGTCCATCTATGGAAAGAAATTTGAAGATGAAAATTTTGCTCTGAAACACACTGGTCCAGGTATTGATTTTATATGAATAAATCATTATTAGATTAATTGATGCAGATGTATGTTATCAGCACAAGACAAAACTGAGGTGGTTTCGTTCTTAAATTGTTGAATTAATATTGCCTCTAGGATTGAGAAAAATTTCAGTAAATATTACTGAAATCTACTTGGTGGTAGAAGTCTTTTATATTTCAATTTCTCATTTTATCAGTAGCATGGAAGTCAAAAATGTTTTGCCTTGTACAATAGTGTAACGACTTGTACAGTAGTGTAATGCTACTATATAAACAAATGTTTGATTTTCTGGAATAAAATTTTGAAATGAGTTTTATGTGGAGTGACCAATTTTGTTCCAGGAATCATGTCCATGGCCAACTCTGGTCCTAACACCAATGGTTCTCAGTTCTTCATCTGTACGGAGAGGACGGACTGGCTGGACGGGAAGCATGTCGTCTTTGGGCAGGTCATTGAGGGCATGGACGTCGTCAGAAAGATGGAGGTAAATTTTGCAACAAAATTCCAGCTAAGATTTATTGATGGAAACTAAATAAAGTGTGATTTTGAAAAGAAAAGGACAAGATAATTGTTAAAAGTATCTTTAAAACAAGAGATGAAGAGAATGTTGAAGCTGCTGGATGCTGCCTCTGTATCAGTAGGCCTTGGATGTGGAAGAAAGGTTTAACATAATATTCTTAATTAAAACTTCTGTTTTCCAGAGTGTTGGATCAAAAGATGGAAAAACGTTTCAAAAAGTTGTCATATCAGACTGTGGAGAATTAGTATGACAGGGACATCAGTGAAAAAAATATTTTTCCAAAAAAAAATACCTTCAAGGGTTCAGACTATCAGAAAACTTCATGCTAGGTGGTGTGAAATGGTGCCGGGCATCGGTAAGACATCTCCATGTCTGTTACCATCTTCTACTGGCACTGGACGTGAAGAAATGATTGCTCTGGACCTTAACAATGCAGATGACTAGTTGCCAACCATGGGGCCAAGCAGAAAAAGTGATATTCAGTGAAGCTCTTTTGCCACTACAACTGTTGACTCTGCTTGATGATACATGATAATGAATATTGCATGTAACACAGTTATGAGGTCCTAAAACATTCTTGGACCATGTGTCAACTGTAGGAAGTCAGTTTTGCCAGGAGAAAGGAAGTACTAGTGGTAATCTTGAATGTTGTGTAAAAGGACTAAAAAGTCCAGATAAATGAATGGATTGATAAACAGGGTATATGCAGAAGTACCTGAAGTTACTGTTCCGTGCTTAACTAGCATCTGCGGGTTACTTTTCTCTACAATCTTTGTCACAAGCAGAGAATTGGGATTTTATCGGGGAAGGATTGGGGCTCAGTTGTTCTTACACTAATGATGATCCAAATGCCAGAGAAGCTCTGATCGAACTAGCCATTTTAAAACATTTTCTGATATCAGAATAAAGAACTTGAAATATTTTTGTACAGTTTTATTTATATGATATATAAAATAATTAGTAATAAAAATTAAAATAATGAAGTGAAAAAATTGAGTGTTTTACAAAAGTAGTACACGACAAATTAGATTTTTCTATTGCCTGAAATAATTGTGTAAAAATCTCCAATAGACAATCCTAGCCGTCCAGCAGTACTTGATATAACCAATATAACCAATATACCTCGAATTTTCCTGACTTATTATCTGTCATAACAGAATACTTTTCTACATGACGTGTAATACAAGTTTTCATTGATGCTGCTTCAGTTTTTGAACAACTCTTCCATACTGAAAACTAATCTTCCAAGTAGTACCAATCACTTTCAATAGTGGTAAAATTTTTGTTAAAATTAAGAATTTCACAGTATTTCCTAGTCACAGAATTACAGCGAATTCATACATAACATTACTTACAATGTGCTTTCACATTTAATTCTCTTATACATACAGGCCACAACAATGCAGTCTCATAAAGCAGAAGAATCTTTCTCAGCACACTGACTTGGAAGTTTTATTGCACTTTTGCAGTCTCGTAGGCAGGTGGAGGTTTGAAAGAACCGTCCTTCTGGCTGGAAAAGTCAATAAATTTCAAAAAAATCAAATTTTAATCAAGGTTCAGGTTGGTTCAACTGCAATCCACTTCAGAAAAGCACCCCTCCCTAATACTGATGGCTACAGGCCTGCTTTTATGTTTTTTTTTTTTTCTCCAGAGTTTCAAGATGGATTGACCAAAGCTATGTGTAGGAAATTATCAGGATAACTGAAATGTTCTGATAGCCATTGTACTGGCGTTTCCAAAGGTGGATTCACTCCCTGTATATACACCTCACACCGCAGGACATCACTGGTATCTGAAAAGATGAAAATACCACATGACCAAGTATCATCCCATAGTATGAACCTCTTATGAAAAAGAAAACTGGACTAAGCTAAAATGGTTGGGGGCAATTTTTCAGTCAAGTTGGAAGATATTTAAAGCAGTAAACACAAAAAACGAGAACAAGATGTACGTACCCCTGTTGTAAACATCAATGTGCCTGTTGACCACCATTTGTTTACAAGAATCGGACAGCATTTAATACAACCACAATAAATTCTTACCATCAGCAAATATATGTGGCACCGTCTCTCTCAGTAAGTCTGCTAATGTAAACAACCTGCCTTCGTCTGACACGGGCTTAAATAACTTCTGAATGAATGGCTTCTCAGGCTGTGAAAAACAAGTCAGTAGAAATTGGGTTTTTTTCAACGGGCGAAAGGAAATATTGAACAGCAGTATCACAAAATATATTTGCCATCTAAGTTTCTAATAGCCTACAAAAGGTCTTGAAAATCATGGCCATTTATAAAGATAATTTGAAGGTAATGACTTTACGAGCCCTTCTCAAAAACTGTGAAACTACAAGTAACGGTTCACTTAGCTTCAGCTAAACATTATGAACAGAAAAATGGTGGTCCATTAACACTCGAAAAGCGTCAGGAAACTTTAAAATTTCAATCCCAAAAACATCCCCTTTTAACAGCTGCCAATACCTGGTGTATCCTGAAAGGTAAGTACTTAAAACCCTCCTCTCCTAACCTCTCCATTAACTTCCTGTTGATGGTCCAAAACTGATCAAACTTATCTGGAAAACAAAAATGACGAAATCAAATTGAACCTATATAGTTTTGCATGCATTTCCTGTGAAAATAACTTCTAAAGTTGAAGATACTTTAATATTTTAGCCTGCAATACAACTTACTAGTATAATATCTCTGGCATTGAAATGTGAAAATGGTTTAATCTGTTCACCTTTCATTCAAATTAAGAATTTTTTTCAAAGAAAAAAGTATGTACTTCTGGGTTTTTAAGTATATAACACATTAAATTTCCTTACCATTCTGCAATCCTGTCCATAACTGCTTGTGGTCTTTTTTCTGCATAGAATTGATAACTTGTGCTCTGTGTTTTAAAGAGTCTGCCTCTTTCACAGTGGCCATGAAGTGGGCTTCTACAGCATCTCTACTTGGGCAGTGGAGGAGCTCATCCTCTGGAAAATTCTTTTGGGGAAAAAAATTTGTTAATTGTTTTTTATCAATGTTATAATGCTCTTGATTAGTCATGTGCACAATCAGTAATTTTGCTCTGACAAACTTCCATATTTTTAAAAATTCAAGAATATTACCTGGAAATGCACTGTAATATTCCAAGGAAGAGGGCCCTTTGAGTTATACATATCAAAAAGTAAGCCTACTGGATAATGCCTGAAAGGAAAAAATGAACTGTGACCGCCTCTCATACTACCCAGTACATTGTATCACTTGATAACAAGAAGATTCTGAAAATTTGTGAATGAAAATTTGTATTAACAATACATTGGAAGGTTAACTTCTAAAAACTGCCTGGGTCAAGAAGCGACTTGTTCAGTTCGAGGTACAATACCAATGATGTTTAAGATCACATTCAGTACCAGTTGATCTGCAGACTAACTAGTCACTGGATCAAACATGGCATGCACTTGACAATGGATTGTAGTGTCCAATGCTCGCTGCCCCAGCAGAGGCAGAGAAATAATATCTCAGCACACTATCAAGTGGGTGGTGCCATATTTGATCTGAGGACCAGTTAGTTCATGGATCAACTGGTTCTGAATGTGCACTTAACCTTACCACTTCAAAGGCTGGCTCTCATATTCCAGCCACATCTCTCCGTGGTTATCAGGGTCCACATGTTTCAGGAATGTCCGCTGGACTCTGTCTGTTGCCAGTGGAAAGTAACTTTGTCTTGGGACTAACAGCTGATTGAAAATGATTTGCACATGTAAAATCATTCATTTATAAAAAAATTATACTTTTGATAATTATGTGCAAATGTTTAGTCTCAGTGTCTTCGATCATTAGACATTTTCATTTATGTGTGAATAAAACATTATTCACATACTTGTTACATCTGCAAGCTGTCTAGTGTAGTACATGCTAAAGAAATATCCAGCAGACTTAACTGTTAACAATAACATACTGATATCCTGTAGGCCTACAAAGCTTATACTGATTATTGGTATAATTGTACTACCCCCAGTGTGTAAAGGTTACATTAAAAACACCTGGATCACACTCACCTGAACCACACTGAAATAATAATATACTCATCATTCGGAGATTTTTTTCTAGTTAAAACATACTTACAAAGAAGGGATCAGGATGCTCCAATGTAAATATTTCATCACTGGCCAAAGAGAAACAGATTGGGACCCGGCCGTCCCAGATTTCACGGAGTATTTCCCTGTCCTCTGCCATTACTGGGAAAATACAAGAGCACAACTCTTATTTGAAATGTAGAAAGGAGGGCAATACAAGTTTTTTAATCAAAATTCGCAACATGTAAAATAGGTTATTCTATTTACTCTAATAAAATTATAGTTTCATTTGTTAATATGATAATAATAATAATAATAATAATAATAATAATAATAATAATAATAATAATCTGTCTGTGTGTAATTAATCGGTACGATATTTCACATTCCTACTTGCCACCTTTCGTCTTTATCACAATCTGGCGTATGGAAGTATCAATAATGAGTTGCATCTATATACTGTACCATGTATAAAACGTACGTAAGCAAAAGAAAAGAAACTAAAACCCGTGAGAAATTTTAGACGATACCTTTTCCCGAAATGAATCCAATCTCCTGTACAAAAGAACCACAAGATGAGCCAACGTTAATTGCGTTGGTAGCTAGGATTGTCTCAACTAACACAATGGTGTTGATAATTATTTGAGAATCTAGTAGGTCTAAGGCGGAAGCAGGTTGTATCTTATATTAAAAAAAAAAAAAAAAAAAAAAACTTAAATAATTATCTGGCACACTCCTGCATAAATAACATGCAAAACAAGGGCAAATATCCTGAATTATAATTCCATTTTATTTCCTTTTTAACTGATGACATAAATATTATACTAGTATGATTTATAAATAAGTTATATGAAATTCAGAATTTTTACTTAACGGAAAAATGTGTTATCAACATTGTGGTTAAGGAAAACCAGGATTTCAGTGCAGGTGTGGTGGAGAGGGTGATTACCTCACATCAACCACTGAGTAACCTTCTCTGTATTCAGAGTATTTCATAGTAGCCACTCAACTGAAGGGAGTTTGACTAATCGCTGCAAACCTTCTCTGTCTCGCTATTAGGTGAAAAAATTAAGGCTTTTAAAAGGGTTTCACAATCTCTTTCTCAACACGGAAATTTGTCAGATGCAGACAAGCCAGATGTCAGTTTACACAGAAAGTTCAACATGTTGCAAGGTACTGTTATGTTCCTTCCACACTCTGTAGGGGCCACTGTGCCTCCTGGAGGTCCATACTTTGGAATTGTGTGCAGAGCTGTCACGTCACTTCTCAGCCAGTAATGTTTTGATATCTGTCACCAATATCACCAGGGTACACTGCAGCCAGAGCATGGCACCATGTGTCATGTGGAGTGACACGTGTAAAGTGACAACTGAGTGAGGTAGAGTCATCACATGACATTTGTGCTGTATGTATAGATTAGCTTATCTGAGGTTCACTGCACACTTGTGCAGTTGTTGGAAATAAAGTAACAGAAGTCTTCACTGGCTCCACTTTTTACCATATGTTACTTCTTGACTGAACTTTTTCTGGCAAATGCCGTGACATGAAGTTCACTTTGATACCTGAGACAATTTCAACATCCTCTCAAGTTCCTTCAGCTGCTTCTGAGCTTGGCTGATACACATCTTGATGGCTAGCTGTCAATTGAGAACAAAAATTTAATGTAAAAACCATTTGATTTTTGACAAAATTATATTTGCAAATAATGTAAAAGATGTATATTTTTACATATCAAATGCAGTGTACAAGTTCTGTTCTACATGTACATATAAGCAGCCAACAACTTTTTTTCTCAACAATTTTATTTTAATTCACTTATTTTATTTTAATTTCTTTATTCATCTACAGTTTGTGTCTAATTTATTGCACAATGGCGTTTTTCAAAAATTACTTCATCTTCCAGTCCGATATTCTGTTTGAACCCAGTCCGCACCCAGGTCTGCAGCTCTGCTCTGTGACTCTTATCAGGCACACACTGCAGAGTGCGGCCAAACTGCCTGTACAGCTTCAACACCTCGGCACGCAGCAAGAACTGCGAAAGAAAAACGTGGATATCTGAACTTTTGCAGTCAATTTTAACAGTTCTACGTAATAGGTGCATCGTAACTCTTTGGATCATAAGAGGATAAAATTTATAACAAAACTCGGAAAAATACTCACCCGGGAAAACGAAAGGGTTTTCTCCGGCAGCTTTGAAGCTACCATTCTCCAGCTAACATGCTTTGCAACTCTTTTGCATTTGGAGATTTTAACCTCCGATTTGGTTACTATCCACGCTTTAACCTCTTTTTGAGACCCAATCATACCTATTTTCATTGAATACGTTCTCTACTGAAAATGAGACCTATATGTGGAGGGTAGTAAACGGGAGCTGTGCTGCAAGGCGCTTTGCCAAACGAGAGAGATGACTGCGGAAGTGAAGTCAAACAATTTGTAAAGTAGCTGCAAACACCGCTTTTGTCATGTACACTTAGAATTATACACCCACGGGGGTTTATCCAAGATGAACAGGAATGTCTCATCAAGTTTGGGCGAGTTGTATCGTCGAGGCAGTCCTGGAGAGTTTCCGCCTTATTTTGTCCCCGCGATGATGACGCCTCCTCCAAGGAGCCCGACAAGGTCCTCTCTGCCTCACGAGGGATTTGGCTCCAGAAATGAATACTGGAACAGGTACTCCAAATACGTGTGTCCGGGTAACTTAATATGTGCATTATTACACTTCATGAAATTTATTGTTTATTTATTATTGATTTATTTCCAATATTTATTGTTGTTGTTTTGTTTATTCAAATTATTGATTGATTTATGACATATTTTAAGGAGGTACTGTACTAGTAATGTTTTTGGTTTTGTTAGTTAAATAGGTAGGTAGGTATATGTAGTTTATTTGTTTGTCTATTTATAGCATTTTGCAAAAATAGTCATGCACAGATTTTGATAAAATTTTCAGGATGGGTCTCAAGTGGGCCAAGGAAGGTACATGTCACAGATATCATTTGCAAGCTGTGACCTGACCTACCTCTCTGAGTTTTTATATATATAATTATTTTTATCTATTAACTTATTTTGGGAGAAAGACTCACCATAAACAAATAGTAATGTTAGAGCACAAGTACTAGTCCTTTATTTTAACTGTTTACAAATGCCTGTTATCTGTGACCACTGTGAAGTCTGCATTTTATTGTACTTCCATTTGTATTTACTGTCAGTTTATATGTATATGTTGCTAACAGCATGTATGGTATCAGTAGGCTATGACATTTTACAGGAAATTATTTTCAGCTCCAATTTCCTGCCATGAAATTGTTAGGTCTTATAATTTCCTTCTCATGCAGTAGAGATAATCCATAAATTGGTTTTCCAGGGTTCAATCAGCTATAGTGACAGTATTCCAACAGAAGAGAATAGATCCACTTGAGTTACCAGAAATCCTGGAAATAGTCAGGTATAATGGCCGGTAATGACTGGCATCACGTCGTCTGTAGTGGTTATTTCTTGTCTGGTTTCCTGTGTTTTAGTTCCAATGTATTTATTACAGTGTTATGTTTTTTTTAAAAAAAGCTACATCTGTCTTTCTCAATATTGATTTTTAGGTTATACTGGCATCAGTCCTTATGTCCCCACATCTTATATACTGTGTGTGTGTGTGTGTGTGTGTGTGTGTGTGTATACACTCCATATAAATTTATAAACTTAGAAAATAATCCCCAACCCCATCCCAGGTTATAGCTAAGATCTAATATACCAAAGATTGGACACTCGGCAATTCTCCACGTTGAGTCAATTTCTATAAAATGGCAGCTGTTGTTACAGGCAGTGCGCTATTGGGTATTGCCTCCTCTGAATATAAAGTATTAAGACAACTACGAAATGTAAACAAACTGTACATCTTTAGAACTTTTTAATAAAAAACTCCACGTGTGCCATTGCTTATCCAATATGGCGGATCTACTTGACGACGATGTGGCGTCCTCGAGAATGCACGAGAAATCACGCTATTCGCTAAACACGGGTTAGGTACAATGGGGATTAAAATTAAGCCCGGCTATCAAAACAACTTAAGGGGAACAATAGAGCAATGTTTACCTGTACGAACGTCTGGTCAAAAGGAAAATACCGCTGTCCAATCTTTCTGTTTATTAGATCTTAGGTTATAGTAATTGCATCACTCCCTACATTATAGCTGTACTAGTACCAACACATGTACTGTAATAACATACACTCCATATTTCTAATCACATTCATGTTCTTTATTTTTAGAGACCTGGTCAAGTCTGATGTCGGGCCATTCATTTATGAATTTTACAGGGTATGTTTAAATGTTGCCCATTTATTGGAAGGGGGTAAATTCATTGCAGTTGTATTTTAAAGTTGCATAATTTTACAGTATAGCAAGAAAATGCTTTTGTTTGATTTATAAGTATTAGTAATGATAATGTAGGAATTGTTTTATTCATTAAGCTAAATGTTTCAAATAATTCTGTATATTGCTCAGGTTCATCCAAATTCTTAAACTACACCAACTTCAATGTGGATATGGCTTATGGCTGTGTTTTTTAACAATCAGACATTTCTCCTTGTAGGACCAGTTGTTGAAAAAGGGAATGGTGATATTAAGAGAAAAGATAAAACACTACAGAGGTAATAATTTATTTAAATGTTTTGAAATCGTAAATCAGCAAGTGAAAAAATGTTGTTTTTTGAAAAATTAGAAAAGTAGTAAGGAAATTCAATATAACTCTTTTCCCTAAATAACCAGTGAACTTGGTTAAAGTTCAGGTTCATAATATTGTTGAGGTGATGATACACTGCACTGCAAATTGTAGTCTGTACCATGTATAGAAAACAAAAAATGTTTTTTGAACTTAGTAGTGAAAGTCATACGTTTGGCTGAAAAAAATGATATGCTAGTAGGTGTTGTTGTGTTTTGATTTGACATATGATTGAATTGTTGTTTACTTGGTAGAGCTGCATGTGCATTAATTCCCTTAATTATGATAAGCCGATAAGGGAGCCGGATGTAGCATGTTTCTTAGAGGAGGGAAATATATTGTCTATGATATAATTCCCTGCTACAAGTTATGATATAAAAAGGCACATGTATTGCAAATTGATTCAATTTGATGAGTGATTTGTTACATGGTGCAATTTAATTCGAAGGCATCAATAGGTACGAACCATGTAGCTTAAACAAAGAATTACTAGCTTGAGGTGTGATATGTTTATTATAGAATGCTATGTTTTTTTTCCTAGACAAGGAGCTATTATACCACCTTGGAGAATTGTGGAACAAATTTTTCAGAGAGATTTTGCCCTTGATTCAGGCCATACTTCAGCCAATACAGGTAATATATAAAGTATGGCAAGTCGGAATGTTATAATGATTAATCATATTCTTATTACTGGTGCCTCATTAGCTACTTTTATTTTATATTTGCTTGCCTTGTGTTATTTTTTAAACTCTGTGTTACTATTAAACTGTAACATGATTAATTTTAATGAGTGGAAATGAAATTAATAGATTGTAGAGACAGCACATGGAATTTTGGGTCTTGAAAAAATATTATACACCGTTTTTTCCTGGCATTTTCAACAATTTCATCATTGTAATGGATTGTCACTCTTTAGAATAATAATTTTCGAACTCCAAAATACCATAGAGAGATATATTTATCAATTTTGCCTTTCTTTGGCTTGAGCCAAGGTAGAAATAAAAAGTGAAATTGAAACCACAGCTCAAAAACTGAATGTAATGTTGCGCAAAAAAGCAATAAACACGTGTAATTGTTTAGAAAAAAAGAGATTGGGACAATACAAAAAGAAATCCATTATATTGCTTCTATAGGGATTAAGTATAAGGTACACTGTACATTTTCTTTAAAAGTAAAGCTCCAAAACCCTCACACTACTGGAATCTAGGCGTATGTAAAAGTGAAGTGCTGTAAAATCTTAAAGCTAAAAACTTTGCTCCAAAGCATGCATTTTGAGTATCTTATTACCTCCAGCAGAGATAAGCTGGGGTTCAGACAGTTCGTATGGAATGGAGTGGTCTGTCATGTGCCATGATATATTGCAGCACGTTTATGATTGGGCTAACCCACATGTATGCCTTAGTATGGAGTGTGGAGTCCTGTGTAGAAGTACTGAGGAATATAAATCATTTTGTCTTATATACTACAAACACACACATACACACACATGCACACATACATACTCACACTTACATATTGAATGTTGGTGTACAGTCATGTATGTAGTCATCGTTAATTCCAAAACTAATTACCCTAACCTCTGGGGAATGGAGGAAGTAAATAAATTATACATATGTATTGTCATACATAGATGTGGTGAATATGCCCTTTTCATACACACACACACACACACACACATTAAGTAGCTGTATGTATTGTTGTATGATCACCTGATCCTCTTTGATATCTGATACCTGTATACCAGGCACACCTGTACCACACCTGTATTACCAGTATACTCACACCTTTCCTAATTAACTACCTGGTGTGTGCAATCAACTGAATTTTCCTTGTACTAATAGTTGTGGATGAAACGATGATATGTTGGTTTGATTATGGGAATTACACCTGCAGTCATTATTACAACATGACTTGGAGGAAATTAAAGAAAATTGAAATTTCTGAGCACAGATATTTATTTCTGATGATATATATATCAAGATTAGTTGTTCCTTTATGTAAAAATTATTTCAAGCCCTTGAATGAGCTCTTGGCATCATTTTTGGTGCCTGTGCTCATTTATTTTTTATTGAGCATACCACCGAGCAGTCTAATTTATGGTCAACAAGGGATGGGTGGTCTGCTTGTATTTTATATATTCTTTACACATTGCATGCCAAAATAGATAGGAAAGATACTCTCAGAATTATAAACTACAATCATTATGATGGCTACAGAATAACTGCATGCATAAGACTTAGTGTAGAATTAACTGAAAATATTGAAATATTTTTGGATTGTTCAAAAGCTGTACCTATATTGCTGTGCACAAATAAGCTAATTTACTTATGTATTTAACATTTTGCTATAGTATTTATATAAAATGTGTATGTTAATATGACTAATGTGCACATAGTTTAATATAGTGTTAATCTTTCACCTAATTTACTTGTGCTTTGGACTTTGTTTTTCTTCAGTGTTGTGTCTTTTGTGCATTTTTTCACACGTCACTGTCACCCTTACTAAACTATCTCTTGTTCCTCCTAACCTTGGGACTTCTGCAGACAAAGGAACTCTCTATCCGCCAAGTCACTCTGTTGGGATTTAGAGATATTGTTTTGCTAAAAACTGAGTTTGAAGGTATTTGGTTTTTGTTTTGCTTTTTTATTAATTTCCACAGTAACTAACTTTTGGTTTCTGTTGCTACGTGTCAGTAAGGCGCTAAGAACCATGCAGAAAGACTCATTTTGCAGTGTGAAGAAAAAGACTTGACTAATCACAGTTACTACATGATCATGGTTTTCCAGCTAATTTTATTTTTAACTGCCTTTTGCTGTTTTTTTTCCCCCAAAAAATTTGTTCTGCTTGGTTTGCCTCTTGTCAAGTATTTTCATTTTGGAAATGGGAATAGATATATATTTAAAATGTACTTAGTAAGGCAGATTTAATTTTTTTTGTTTGTTTTTTTTTAAATACCCTTTTCTCAAATTAAAAAGTTATCATTAAAGAAATTATCTAGGCAAAATTTATTCAAAATGGCAAAAGAAAAAGTGCTATCAAGATATAATTTTATCCTCTCACGAATATGACAAAATCTAACATTATTTACTTCCCAAATATTTTCCTACTATTTTGCTGTCCACGTGAATCAGTAGATGTGTCAGACCATCAGTAAATATTGATCTAGTGTGCCCTTTAGATAATTTTTAGAATATTTAGTTTTGACTAACATGACATTTAAACCAACTATAACATTTAGTGAACTGCACGTAGCTGTAATTAACATCAAGCATGTCAAGCATGTCCCTCACAGTATTATTGTTTATATTTTTTATCTGTCTTGTATATTTTTTCAGCATGTGTAGGGGCAGGGTTTGAAATTCCACCTGCCGTTACTCAAATGTTGTTAGTGTTGCAGGTAAGATAAGCTGATTTGATAAACTAATTATTATAGACTAATTATAGTTATAAATGTCAAATTATAGACTTAAAGGGACAAAAAATAGGATTAAAAACGCCTTTTTAGTGCATGGATTGCTTCTTTTTTAACTTATCTGAGAACAATTGCTATGGGTAAAGCATAAAATGGCAGGTAAATGGCCTTAATCAATATCGAAAAAAAGANTATCTTTTAGTTTATTATTTATATCATGCAGAAATAAATTTCTTTAGATTAATTTTTGGAATTGTAGAACCCGTCTGTAAGAGGAAAAAATTGAGTGATAAAAAACTTTCAGAAAACTCTTAAATATTCAGCACCAAATGAATGATGGGGAAACAACATTATGCCTGGAGATGGAATACTGTATAGTAAATCATCAGAACTTTTTTCCAGAGGTTAAGAGAGAGTCTCCCCCCAACAGAGAATTTCTTCAAGGTGGAGTCCCTGTTAGCCCAGATAGTAGACCCGTATCTTGGGGTACGAGGCTACTACGAGGGTGGCTCAGAGCCCATCATTCCCGCAACAGTGGTACCAGAGGTCCTGCTGAGGTCAAAGTCTTCAGGTACAAGACTTCATGTTCACTAAGGGACCATTCCCATGACGCTATTGTACTAGCAGGATTGATTTATCTCCGAGGGGATTCTTGCTAAATTGCATTCAGTTTAAGCGTGCATGAAAGTTAATTACCCCCTAGCAGCTTCAGTGGGTGTGCCAGATATTTTAAACTGAATGCAATTTAGTGAGAATCCCCTCAGAGTACTCGTATGATAGGTTTATGGAAACCCAGTTTAAGTGACATTTTCAACTTTGTTATTATTTTTACTTAGCCTGCAACTCTGAATGTTTAGTAATAGTTTTACTTTTTGTGTTAAAAAAATTTTCATAAGGTAATTTAAATGTTTCTTATGTTTTCAGTAAGACAGTTGTGCATGATAATTTAAATGTGATGTAAATGTAATTTTCACTAATTTAGCAAGGTTAGAATCTTTTCAGTGCAATACATCAATGAAATCAGTTTAAAATCTCATGATTTTATAAATGAAACAAAAGAATCCTATAAAGATTGATGTTTTTTTAATCAACCTTGCCAAATCAGAATTTACTGGGGCTATCCATATATTATGAAAAAATCTAATTTAACTTTCAGGTGACATACTAGGGGAGATGCGTAAAAGCAAACCACAAATGCACCGTCCTCTCAGTATGCAGCATCCGGCGTCCAGGGTCCTCAGTCAACATGTCCGCCAGCAGAGCGCCTCCAACATTGTGATAGGCCCCATGCTGGATACACTGGAGGAATACGAGCCGTATCGTAGACACAGCTTGGCGTGCTATGACCGTGAAGGATCGGAAGTTTGATCCCCTGTGAAGGATGATTTCCCCTGAGTTTCGGAGATTTCTGGAATCTAACCTCTCTTATCAGTATGACTCCCATGTCTCCTGTATCTCAGGGTGATTGGTGCGTACTTCTGGTGCTGACAAAATTTCTAGCAATTTCTTATTTTTGTCTTAATTTCATGAATTGTTTTGATAATGAAAATTTTATTTTGAAGCACCACAGTGCATGTTTCAACACTGTAAGTTCTGAACGTTCAAAATAACTTTTTCATCATGTAATTCTACCATACCAGAGATTTTTTGCTGATTTTTTAAGTGTTTGGAATAAGATTATTATTGTTGTTTAAGTATAGATTTTCAACCATAACTTATTCCCAAGAAGTTCTAGTTATTTCTTCATTTATGTTAGAAATTTTGATGTAAATGCTTATATTATACAGCAAATTCACAATTTGTATTTATACACATTATTTTAATTTTTGTTAATTATAAGTTTGAATCATTGTTTTTTTGTTTTTTTTTCTTTTATAATTGTCTTGAAAATGCTGCCAATCCTGGTATGTTATATGATAAGTGATCATTTTTTTTTCAAATTCTGTCAGGGATTATTTAAGAATCAATACCAGGGAAACCAAAATGTGATCTCAATAAATGTCAAAGAAGTTGTGATGTAGCCAAATAAAAAACCCAAAAAGGCATGTTCTTATATTGCAAAAAGGTGATTCTGTGGTACTGATTTTATTTATTGTTAGCAAATCACCTTCCATAAGGTTAGGTGAAAATCTTATTTATTGTTACACCAGTTGCAGAGTAAAGAATATATTATGCATTGAATTACTTATAGTATGACAAAGACTATGCTATAAGGAATATACTTAAACAAATGGTTATTGCAGTTATGTTCCATATGCCTTCGTTTAGTATTCAATCTTTTTGCACATTTTCTGTTAGTGTTTGTTGTACCGTCAACTAGATGGTATTGTAATTTTTACAAAAAAGCAATAGACATACCTGTTACTTTTGTTTTAATCTTATATACACTTGTATATATTTTTATTAGTGGCACACTTCATATATCATTATTGTAACCAATTGTTTTATTTGCACAAAAACTTGTCCTCAGAACTATGCCACAACTACTTAACCATAATTCAAGATTTATGCTGAATACTTTGTGTTTGATTGCTTAGATATTTGAATTAGATCTCATGTTAAGAAAAATGACATTTTATTTGTAAAAGTTAAAGTTAAATAATTCTTTAAGATTTACTTTGGTATACTGTTATAACTTTGTTGTACCAAATAAAAAAATTAAGAAATCATGAGTTTTAACATGTCTAGTGGATAGAGTACACATCATGACAAAAAGGAAATCAGACACACGTGTAAAACATTTATTACTGAAATAGAATTAAAATTACATTTGTTTAAAAATCAACAAAACTTGTAAGCAAAATATGCAGATATGACACAAAGCTTCAGAAGCAAGCATAAACCACATCTCACGTTGACTACCTACCAAACCTAAATTTATTTCTTAAACTGAATTCAACTTTAAATATTTAAATTGTACCGTATTCTGGACCCTATCATATTGGTTTTGTACATGTCTTACAAATGCAAGACTTGTCTGAAATAACATGACTTGTTGAGGTATTTTAAACGCCTTTGGCAAGTTACATCTCACTGAAACTGTATTGCATCATCTTAAATTACTGGTATTCCTCCATTTGCTTAAAGACCTACATGCTGGGAAGTTTTAAAAATATATTTCTGTCAGAAATGTCCGACTTACATGTTGTTGACATATCATGCAAAGGTATCAGGCAGCCGTTTTTTTCTTAAATCTTTTAGTTTTTGTTTCCTAGAGAGATTGTTAATGCTCTATTTTGTTTTTATCTGATGTTGGCTTTTCCATTTATAAAACAAATATGAAAGCATTTATTATAACAAGATAAATTATTTTGAAATAAATGTTTTCTGGAAGTTGTTAGGCAAATCTGCATGTGCACTTACATTATATGATATAAGTTACTTGTATAAACAGCATGCAATATAAATGCAATCAAAAAACTTATATTTTATAGGTCATGTTACATTTTTTGATACAACAATGTTTATGGTGTTCAAAGATTGACATCCAAACATTACTGGCAGTCAAACACCTACTGAGAGTGACACTGAGAGTAGAAAAAATGTGAATGAGGGAAGCAGCAATTTACGGTAATGACTTGATCTATTCAATAGGCAAAAATTATCAAACTTTCAGGTACATCATTTTTAAATCATAAAAATTATATTTTTATACAGCATTTGTGGTGCTTTAAATGCATAGAATAGGACTATAAGGTAGTCTGCTTTTCAATTTTGTTGCAACCACTCAATAGGATTGCTCGTATTTTAAGAAATTGACTTAAAAAATACAGTGTTTGTAAAATTAACAATTTTCCCCCATCGAAAAGATCGAGTCATTACCGTATTTGTCAATGTAACTTGGCTAAAATTTATAGGAGTCCATGTAATGGCTCATTCCCAATGAAAATATCAGTGTACATAGATAAACCCAACTCATAGGGACTCTCGCTGAATGCAATCAGATTAACATGCTTCCTCTTGTTTCTAACACACTTGTATCACCAGCTTTTCAGTATTCTACTCAATGCCAAGTGGAGGCATGTCAATCGACTTATGTGATTACATTCAGCAACAGTTCCCACAGAGTTTGATCAATCTACTAGACAGATGGTTTTATTGGGGATGAGCCCTAAGCTAAGTCCTGTTTTCAACTTCAGCACTACTGTCAAGAATGCCCCTGTATTTGTTATTTATTAGTCATCTCAAACTGGATACTGTTCATCATGTAGAACCACTTTTGGCACCCAAGTGATCATCTCTTGGATTTCAAGCGTTTGATGTTGGCGTTCTTCCTTCATGAATTTTCTTGACAGTTTTGGGGAGTGAAGTACTGGGGACTCAAAGGGAGGAGAGTGAACAGTGGCTTTCTGACGGACATTTAATGGTGGTTTAAACTGTGGCTGGTTCGAAAATTGACCTTCCAGGGGTTTGTTCATGGGAACAGATTCAGGTGATGGTTTGTTCTCTTGTTGACTGTGGTGGATTCTGGTTTCGCTTCTACTTCTTGGAGTTTCCATAGGTTTTGGTGCAGCAATGGGGCCACCTAAGGTTTGTCTCCTCCAGGGCGCCCTCTTACCTGTGATGGAGGTGTTCTTTACAGGTGAAACAGCTGGAGTCCGTATGTCGTAAACACCTGGCTGTTTCTTCTGTGATATCTGGTTATCAGTTGGTGTCAACATTTCGGCAGGGCTGCTCAGAGTTTGGCTTCTTTGATATGACTTCTGCTTAGGGGTCCCTGGATCTTTCTGATTTGGTGCCCCCAAAGCACTGAAAGAACTGGGTTTGTAAGTTCTTGGTGGAAGCCTTGGCTTTTGTCTGGGTGGTGTTGCCTTGGTTTCTGCTGCCATTTGAGCACTTGATAAAGTAGTGCCTAGTCTAGGCAAAGGGGGTTTTGGTGGTAGAGCAGGGGGTAGTTTATCAGCTTTTTGGTCCACTGAAACATTTGCTTCTGAGGTGGCTGTTTCAGCTGGAGAAGCTCTCTCCCATTGTTCCTGTGAAGGCTGATCTTGAACCATGTATGTGACACATGGTACAGCTCTGTGCTTTGTCATGAGTGGGTCTTGCTCTGCAGTGGTAAGTTCTGTATCCTCTGAAGCATGTGGTGGATGGGATGGTAAGTGCCTTGAAGGTGCCACAGTACCATTAGCTGAGGGCACCTGGACCCCAAATGCTACATCATCAGTGCCTATGGTCGACAACATCTTCTGGAGGTCATCTAGAGCTTTTCTACGGTCTTTGGTGGCATTATCAGGCTCACTGGGACCACATTTGGCAGGCTCTGTTGCTCTCGACTCAGGGCTAGCCTCAGTAGGTTTTGGCGACCTACTCAGTTCTGGGGAAACCCTGGGATATCTCCCTAATTTGGCTTTAAAAGTTGGCATTTCTTTGAATGATATTCTGCTCATGTCTTGAACACTGCTAGTTGTGGAGGCTTGTGGCTGTGATGGGTAATGGTGACCCTGGGAACTGCTATCATCCAGTGATATGTCATGTGTTCCTTCATGACTACTAGTATCACTTGTATTTTTCTTGTAGGCCTCAATGTCCTTCAGCATCATAGTGAGCCTCTGCAGTCTTTCAAGGTCTTTAGAATGTGACTCTGGCATATCATGAAGCTTTTTTCTTGCAAAGGAAGAGGTCGTACTGGAAGGACCTGATGGTGAGGAGCTGGCTGCAGATTGTTGGCCTTGCTCTGTATGGTGTTCAAGTGAAGAGGATTGTGCAGGGCTTCCTTCTTGCAAATCTTGGTGATCAGGGGATACTAACAAGGATTCCTTAGTATGACCCTCCATCTCACCCAATGACCCTCTGCCTTTGGAGGAGCCACTGCTGAAAGAATCCATTGATTCTGAATCAGAGAGCAATTGGTTGATGTTAAGTCTTTGGCTTCTTGCTAAAGGTTGTTGCTTGGGGGACTCCAAGCGTTGAGTGACATTTTTCAACTTGCTGATGCATTTTGTCAGTTCACCATTGTAAGTTTGCATATCTGTCCCCACACACTTGTCAGCTTTCCTGTGTTTCTTCAATGCAGTTTGAGTGGACACCGACTGAGTTATCAAGTGATTGCTTTTGTCCAAATCTCTGAGTTTTTCAGCTGACAAGGGTAAAGTTCCAGTTCCTACAGAACGATTCTGTATGAATTTCTTAGAGGTATAAGGAATTACATTTTCCTTGTCATCTCTTTCCTCGTATGAAGGATATACAAACCCACTGGGAAATACGAGTGGGTCTGTCATTGTACTGTTTTCCACCATTTGTTTCTTTTTCACACTTGCTGTAAATTGTGCTGTCTGACCTCTCTTTCCTCTCGTCAAAACAAGCGACTTGGAGACGTCTTTATCAACTTTCATCACAAAACTTAATTTGTCTGTTGGAGACCCAATAGGTGACGTTTGCTGATCTACTTGGAATAAAACATCAGTGGACGTGCTCTTTTCTGATTTCCCAATATCCAGAGTTGATGGGGGGTCCGGGCGTCTGTGCACGTGTTGTACTTTCCCCTGCTCAGGAGAGGAGACTTTGTTTGGATCAAACATGGCCACTTTGGACGAAACTGATGCCAGTAACGAAATTTCTTCCAAACTGTCCTCTCTGGTAAGGGAAATGTCATCATTGGAGTAGATAAACTTGATCGGACTTGATGCCTTATCCTCCCGTCCCTCCAACCCATTGGTCTGGGTGTATTCATTGCTTGTATTCATTTCGCTGTCACATGTAGTACTCTTGCTTTTTGTTCTTACTCTGGCCGATGTAGCCTTGTCACTAAAGGATGGCTTTTCGTGCTCACCAATATCTTTTTGGAACCCATTGACCATGGCCTTTATTTCTTTGGCCATTAATAATTCTGCTTCAGGATCTGTGATTATTTCATCGGTGTTGCTTTCCTTGTCAAATGTCTCAGGCAAGTCTGTGCCTGTTTGTTTGCTGGGCATGGGTATGGTGAAAGCGTCTGACTCCTTGTCAATGAAAGATGTCTGTCTTGTTAGGGTTGACCTATCAGCAGTAACAATAGGGCGGGTGGTAGTGGACATATCACTTTGAATAGTAGGCGGTGTCCCAAGATTTTTATTGTGCATCTCTACAGTAGCTTCACATCCCTTGTCAGATGTTGAAACTACAATTTCTTGTGTTTGAGAATATATGGAAGCAGTATATACGGTGCTATCCCCTTGTCCAAAGTCAACCACTGATATTGTAGAGCCAACATTCTTGTCCACATAATTATTTTTGTCAGTCAAAACCCCAACTTCCGCAGTTTGTAAGACATCCATTTCGGTTGTAGAATTGGCAGTTAGTGGTCTCATTGAGCAGACGATAGATTTATCTACCATACGAAATCTTCGTGTATTTGTACCCTTGGACGTTGCTATCACATTGTTTGACCCCGTACCAAAATCTGAGTATTGAGGTCGAGTTGTAGTAGTTGTTGCATCTTTACATTCAATGACGCCATCACCGCATCCATTGTCAACGATAATAACATTAGTGGAAGTCTCTTTGTGCGCAAGATCTTTCTCTTTCGTTCCAATTTTACAATGTTTCATATGAGGAAAGGCTCGTATGGCTTTGTCGGCGTAAGTCCTATGTTCCATACCCGTTTGCTTGTCACAGCTTTCTGTTGTTTCTGTTCCGGTAAACTTTTCACTGAACATTATTTCAGAACCACACGATTTATCAGTTAATTCTGCATGCTCAGTTGCAGTACCCGTGTCTACAACAACTGCCCTATATGCGTCAGTTGCCATATCACTAATACCAACAGCTTCAGTACACGTAACTCCGTCCGCTGTATCCACCATTGCCTCCGTATATTTATCATGAGATAAAACGTTGCCATCACCAACCATGGTATCCCGAGTAGCAACTTGGACATAGGTTGCCTTATTCGCCACAGACACGGGGAAAGAGTCGGACGCGGCGTCCTTGGTGCTAATCTTTGTCATTGTGCTTATACTTGCCACGTCAAGGTGCGTTGAGTACGTCTCTGCGGATTTCTCCGCGCAGGTAATATGAGGAGTTGCTGTGGAGACGTCGGCTGTAGTTGCGCGTTCAGTTGATGTGCTGCCGTCTTTGACTTCGATCACGCTATCAGTACCAAAATGGCGTAGCTCGGGAGCCGTTGTTGCAGTGCTGGCATCTTTCAGCCGAAGATCCATACCCGTTTCCTTGTCTGAGTGAAATATTGGTGTCCATGTGGCACAATCCTGGCTTAAAACACACGCGTCACCGACACCGCTATCAGTAATCATTACAGATGTATGTGTCTCTTTATCATGACTTTGTGTGACAGGCATAAATGTCTCTGCGTCTTTGGTGGCAGCGGCAACCAACGTACCGGTTTCAACGGTAGAAACAGTTGGTGTTTGACACAGCTTATCAATACCGGTTAATATATCTGTCGCTGTGGCTTTTGTATAACACACTGGTGGTGCCGTAAATGTTTGAGCGTCTTTTGTCTCCAGTGTGGGCGTGGCAGTGGCGCTGTCAGTTGTTTTGGCGTTCACTGTTGCCACTGACGTATCTTGTGTAAAGACTGATGCGTCTCCAACTGAGGAATCGGTTGTAAAAATTAACACCGAGTCTCCTACACCGATATCAACGCAACATGTACCAACAGTTTCCGTGCTACTGTCAGACATCGAAATGTTCGTACCTGTCGCTTTGTCTACTGGAGCACCCATTGCCGTCTCCGTTGCGATTTCACGGCTTACGACTTCTGTAGAAGTCCCTTGATCGGAGACTGGAGGTTTATCAGGCGGTATTTCCGCCGACACGGCCTGATCTACCATAACTATCTTTGGCATTGCGATGCCAGTTTCAACAGTGTGTACGCGAGTGGTGCCGCATTTTCTGTGAACCCTTGGTGGCTTAGGCGTCATCACAGCCTTTTCTGATAGTGAAAGTTTATCTGTAGACGTTTCCTTGTTTTCTACGGAAGGAGATGTCATTGTACATACGTCAACGCCAACTGTCTCTTGATCAAATCCTGGCAGAATATCCATCAGTGTGCCTTTATCCGACGTTGCCGCCCTCGGTGGCCATGGCAAGTCATCCGTAGAAACGCCGGCAACAGCAGTTCTTAACGGAGGCATAGAGATACCGACTTCAATCAGTTGTCGCTGTATCGTACCAACTTTTTTGTTTGTCACCGAACATGTGGTTGTCATGCTATTCTGATCTTTCTGTTCGCCGCGGTAAGCGTCCACGTATTTATCAGTACACTCTACGGGTGTGGTCCCCGTCCCAACTTCAATTGTCTCCGGCAGCGACACCATATCTGTAAAAGCGTCAACTGTTTCCTTAGCCCCAGCGTCCCATGGTTCAACCGGATCTGTCATCGTTTTCTGATGACAAGATGAAGGGATAATTGACACATTTTTATCTTCCGTCTCTGGTCTCGACTCGGTCTGAGCGTCTTTTGTTTTAATCTTAGCTGTTGACATCCATGCGTCCACTGTGACGACGGCCGTTGAGGTAGATTGATCGCTGTGTTCTACGATCTCAGTACACGTTGTCTTTTCATGCGACGCGGTGCGTTCGGTATTCGTTTCCTTATGAGAAACGCGGGAAAGGGAACGATCGCGATTGCGTCTGTCCCGCCTCTCTTGCCTTCTCTCTAAGAATTCCTCCGTCTGGATTCGCTTGTGTCTGAAGTCGGGCTCGTCGGTCACGACGCCGTAGCTGCGGACTATGGCCTGGGCGGTCATCGTACCCGTGGTATACGTGAACGGCAATTCCGGCGCTGTTGCCTGGTCTTTCTGCCGTCTGCGTAGCGTCTGGGTGTGAATATCATGGGATAGCACCTCAATCATGCTACTTCCCATGGAGGTTTCTTGTTCACTGTTGGTTATTATTGGCGTCTGGGTGTCTACCGTGACTCCTTTAGGAAGCAGCGCCATTCTCCCCTCGGCTAATTCTGTTTCGTCGCAGTCTGTGGAAAGATGGCCAAGAGATACGCAGCCTGGGATAAAAGAGATGTGCTTTTTCGCATTAGCAGGCGGTGTTCTGACGCCAGATCTCAGTAGAGACTCGAGTTTTTGTTGTATATCATTTTTCATCAGTAGCATTTCGATGTTTTGGTTTTGTATGAGGATTTCTGTTAGATTGCACGTGCTTTGCAAGCCGTTGAGGTTATCTTGCAACATGTTTCGCTTCTGCAGAAATTCCAGGAGTTCTGCGCCGTACATATCGTTCAATTGATTTATAAGCTGATTCTCACTTGCGCGAACACGAGATACAAAAATCTCTGTCATTTCCCTTATCGCTTTTTCTGCCTCACTTTTGTTGTTATCGCAATCGTCTATGAAGTCCAACTGAGATTTGATTTGTTCGATGCGAACTTTGCTTGACTGCACCAAAGTTTGTAAAGAATCTCGATAGCGCTGCATGCCTTCGTTGAATGACGACACCTCGTGGCCCTTGTGTTCTTGAAATGCGCAGACGACACATATACATTTCTGACAAGGCTCGCAGTAAAAGCGAATCTGGAAGATCAAAATGATTTAGAGAAGACTTAATAAAAAAAGCAAGTAGCATTCATATACTGATACTCTGCCATTCACTAAATAAACTTAGTTAAATAAACAAAAGTAAAACGAACAAATAATGATTGAAACATCAACATACTTATTCAAACATGTCCAAGATAAGAATATTTATACGTATGTTCCAATGGTTTTCAGTCCTCGGTCATACGAAAATGTCTACAGAATTTTTTGCATTAGAATTGTAAATAAGAAACATATAATTTAATTAAACAGTTGATTTAAGCCCTACAAATTTGATCTATACTACATTATTCGGAAATATGACCCTGTACTTAGATAGTTTTTAGGATACATGCAGCGTATACTGTACTTATTTGTAACGTTTGTGCAACAAAAACTAATATTTCAAAAAGCGAATAATCGTGAACCTTCTAAGGCAGCTATCAAAAGTCAAAACAAAGATTGCAAAATCACAAAGCGTTCTAAATTGATATAAGGAGATAAAACACGGATTTGTTCCCTTGATAAAACGGATTAGGGTTAAACACTTTAAAGTAACAGACATTGATAAACAGTTCGTGTTTTAGTAACTTCTGGTTGTATAGACTACAGAAACTTCTGAGTTTTTTTAATGCATTCAAACCTGGGCTGCCTCAATCGTCTAGAAATGGGTACAGCAATTTTGTTATTTCCAGGTGATTGCTTACGACTGGCATCATAAAAAACTTACTCAACTGTCTCAATTTTAACAACAGTCAGAACAATACACTATAACTACAAATGTTATGTCATGGATAAAATTACGAATTCGTTTTTATATCCAAAGTTATATTTAACTGCAATAATTTACTACTCTCTGATCACAGGGTACCGCTGGTAGCCTTTTTCAAAATTATTGTAACGAACTTTACTTTAACTATTTACTGTCAACTATTTAATAGGCCCCTGCTATCAGAGGATAGTAATTTTCAAACAATTAAAAATGTTACCAAAAGCACTCGAATTTCTCAACTGACCTGTTCCTCTGGATGACTCTGACACTGAATGTCCTTCTCCACCTCGACATCACACAGGCTGTGGTGGGCCGTCACCTTAGTCCGGGTATGGAGATCTACGCAGGACTTACACAGGAGTTTCGAACACTCAAGACACTTGGACGCAGCCTCGTTGTTTTTAGAATGCAGATTGTGGCATATATCACAGAGGGGTACAGCACTGGGCTTCCTTCTGTTGACAATCTCGGTGAGGTTGGAGACAAGGAAGTTGTCCGGCAGTTTCCGAACTCCTCCGTTCGGTATGTCTGTTCGTTTTCGGCACAACGGGCACGAGACATTTCTCATGTAAGACGCGTAGCGGTACGACGTCCGCTCCATTTGGGCGTCCATATGTTTCTCTATGCAGTCAGAACAAAATACATGAAGACAGTCCAGCGTCTTTGGCTGCTTGTATGGTTCCAAGCATATTTTGCAGACCAAAAATTGGTCGCTTATTTCTTTCGTGAGCTGGGACGCCATTTCGCCGGATGGAATTTATAAGCCACTGTAGTGGTGTTGTCCTAGGTATGAGTACTTGAGGCCGGATTTACCGTAAATATTTAAATTAAATATGTACAGAATACAATTACGGCTCCGTCACAGGACTCTTCCAATACCGATATGCCTGCTTAAACTTCATTTCATGTGGACACTCCTTCGTTCTAAAACATAATCCCAGCTTTCCTGTTTGGAATCAACAAACACGAGTAGAGAGAGCCGTCCTCGCTTGAGCATATAGGCTTTTCTGGCCTCTTTAAACTTGTTTACCTGACCCAACAGGTGAAATAAGAGATCGACTGGGACAGAAATTGAAAAAAATGTTATATTATCTAACTGTTAGTGTTCACGCGCAGCGCGAGTATTTAGCAACGCAATAGTTTTGTAGGAGTGATGAGTTTATTTCTTCGGGTAAATAAATCCGTTGTACGTAGAAAATGCGTCTTTCCCTTCCAAGTTACCTGGCGCCGAGAGTGATTTTGATTGGCGATGAAAAGGAATGATTCCACGTGCAAGAATGTAGCCTTCAGTCGTCTAGATAACAACTGTTGATTTGTTTCCACGTTAATAATAACTCTCTACGGCAATATAGCAAAGTTCCCAGGAATTATCTTAATATCCATTCCAGCGAAAAACGAGGTATGCGTAATTTTCACGCGTGATTGATTTTTTGCACTCACATAGCTCTTATGCAAGACGCCGAAATATGCGGCAAGAGACAGTTTAACTTCTCATCTTACGGGGCTTACGTCTCCAGTAAATCTGATGTTCATTCTTTAAGGCACAACTTGAGGTAACTTTCCGTGTTATTTCACGCCGGCGCCCAGCAAGTGGTCTTACAGAGAACATCAAAAGCTAAACCGCGTTTGGCAGCTATATCCATGATTCTCTCTTAAAATGTTTCCGCTTCAGTGCAAGACGCCAGCACAGGTGTGGTTTTGGTCTGAAATTTCTCCTGTTACAAGGATCAGTTAGAATGGATCTCTTTGGCGATAAAAGGTCTTTTAGGTAACGCGAGATGAGGCGTCTTCAAACGTAATTGGTTGTTTTCGAGGTAAAGTTGTGTATATTCTTGGGCGGTGGGTGACTCGGGGCCAGTTGGTCTGAAAAAAAAAACATAAATCAATAAAAAGTGGCCACTATCTGCAATCTACAAGGGCCCATAAGCTATCCTTTATGTAAAGTACATAAGAATAACATTCTCTAACATGTGATTTATTTACGCTTGTTCATAAATCAAAGCACGCTAGTAAGAAACCTTCAATCCAATTAAAAATAAAGATATAACATATATGGCATCTCAGCGGTGCCCTTTTAGTTTCCATTCTTCCTTCTTCCTTATAAAAAAATAAAAAAATTATATTTCATGACAAATAATCTTACTTTGGGAGTGCACATGCAGTTTTTTTATTTTAGAGGAACGGCATCTGAGCCCAAGAGGGATGTGAATAAGTCTAATAACATTTTTTTTCTGTTTTCTATCTAGAAATTGTTATGTCTCCCAGTGGGTGAGGGAGGGGGCAGTGAATGTTACCGCGTTCCACTTCATGTCGGCTCTTGTTTGCTAAGACGAAAAACCTCATCAAAACGTTCTTTAAAAATTGCAGGAAAGTATAACAGTCAACAAACCATAACAACCACCTAGAAGCAACCTTTAACGCTCCAACGGTTAAAACGGCTCGGCCCAAGAAAAACAACAAGGAATTAATGTAATGATAGCTAGGGCTCTCTGCCTAGTATATAATGCCAAACCCAAACCACCTACACGCGTTTTAAGCAAATCCAAATTATGGTGTTTTTATTTCGTTTCAGTTTCCTTTTTCTTCACTGGCTTCAATGAGACTTTTTACAAAGAGCGGATCCTTTACAAATTTTCAGATAAATCCATTCCTTTACGTTGTTTACTTGTGAAATATTGTGGGGATTTGCCTCCTCTGAACACTGCATGGAAAAGGAGAGAGAGAGAGAGAGAGAGAGAGAGAGAGTCTACGTGTTTATGACTTATGTATATCAAGGTATTCTACCATAAGCAACAAAGAAGTGCAATATCCCTGCAAGTCCTTTTCCGCGCTCTGTCCTTCCTAGTTAGAACAAATTCAACAGGCATGGTTCCAAAGTTGACGCTGAAGCCATACCTGCAATGATGAGTCATGATGCAAACTTCGAAACGAATCCTCTAAAATTAACAGACTCGCTCATTTACTTCAATGTTTACAACAAAGATCTGTACTTAGGTCTATCATTTGGCTTCTCTGGTATTTCTCGATCAAAAGTCGGTGAAAAAAAAGCCTCCCCCTAACACCCCTTACGTCAGTGCCGTGTGTTACCCTACATGTTCCGTGATTACAACACTGTAGGTAATGTGGCACTGGGCTATGTAATCAAGTGGGAGCCGAGGCCGAAAAACGTGTGCCAATCTATCTCTGGCACTCGAGAGTGAGATCAACATTGCGCACTCGGATGTGTCATTAAGATGCCAGCGCGTAATTTGCTGAAAAATTTGCAAAGCAAAGGGTATTATGCTCGTTGCCAAGTTTACACAGGAAATAAAACGGTGTTTTGTTTTTTTTCGCCAGAGAGTGAAAATGTCAACACTGGGCTGAGGTTCCTTTTTATGGGCACCTTTTTGGAGTGTATTGATGATATGCCAAGTAGTATTTTTTTTAACTTCGCAACTAAATTAACCCCTATTTCTAAGTTCTTTACCAATAAATTTATTTATTACCAAATTACTTTGGTCTATCGAGTGTCTGGACCAGCTCATTGTTCCCGCGGCACCCGCTCTCACCCCTAAGCCCTACCCCCCTCACCCCCACCCACCCTTACCCCCCTCACCCCCCACCCACCTCTACCCCCTCACCCCCATCCACCCCCATCAACCCCCACCCCCTCCATTCAAACGGCCATCTCAGGTCATCTCAGGAATCATTTTCAGGATGAATTACTACTTCATTTGTTTTGATACGGAATAAGAACGAAAGAAACTTCCTGAGCCGCAGCACTCTTCAAACCACACTTCAAGCCAAAACATCAAAGAAATATGGGACTTACCTTCAAGTTCTGTTCCTTTGGTGAGAGTTCGCTGTGAGGAGAATCTTCATGGCAGTGCACGGGGTTCAGTATCTAAACAACAGGTAAAAAGAGATACTAAGACACACTGAGTCATTTTATGGGATTTAAAAATAACACTGGAAATGGTTCATTGAAACAGCTGCTTCTCAGTATACGCTAGACTCTGTATGCAACCCATCTTTCTTGGGCTAATATGAAATAAATGTCTGTTGAATCATGAGCTATTAATCCCCCAAATCAAAATCTATCATTTCACATAATTAACAAATGAATAACTGAAGCACAAACAGGCGTGTTTTCTTACCCTCTCTGGCTGTTTGGGCCTCTTAGTTCCACTGAATTGAGCACATATTCTTCGACGTTTGCACTTTCATTTAACAATAAAAGCGAGGGGATGTATGTATATAAATATTTATCTTTGCACGCAACGTATCGTATGCTCACACTCTCGACTCAAACACGAGGTATGTGGTGGGGTATGATAATAAGCCAGCCTTGAGGAAATTTGATCAACCACTTAGTAAACCTGTACATGATCTGCTCAGCGACCTTTTCCTTTGACAGGGTGTCAGTGAATCCAAATGTCACACGAAGTGTGAAACGGAAAGATGTGTCACACTGCCCACTTCAATAAAAGTTTAAGTTTCAGATAAATCTCGAAAATTGTTTTCTGTGTTTCTAAAGCCTATATTTAAAGCGCTTGGTGTTAAAACCACTTAAACTCCATCTAAAGGTGCATGTACTCTTTTCTTGAGGAGTTCATCCAAAGTTCAAGATCTGATGAGTAGCTGAACGCCTCAATCGATAATCGTAAAGACAGCTTTCCAATCACACCTTTAGACCGTTTTAATCACTTCGACTGCCGTTCAATCACACCTACTGTCCAAATTACTTTAATGAAACCCTTCCATTTTCCAGATAGACCATAACTTTAATTGAATGACATTGTTTTACTCTCACTTTTCTTGGCTGTGTGCTCGTGTGACTGCTGTGTGTGTGTGTGTGTGTGTGTGTGTGTGTGTGTGTGTTTGTGTATGTTTGTGTGTGTGAGGGGGGTATGTGACTGCTGTGTGTGTGTGTGTATGTGTGTGTGTGTGTGTGTGTGTGTGGGAGATATGTGAGTGTGTGTGGGGGGTATGTTTGTGTGTGTGGGGGGGTATGTGAGTGTGTGAGAGAAAACAATGGGAAAAGCAGGAGAAAGAGAGAAAGAGGGAAAGAGAGGGAGATATGATGAATTTCATCTTCATTAAAGACCGGATATAATGGCAAGAACAAGATGAAACAAAAAAAAAAAAAAAAAGGAAACTTACCTGATCTTCAGTCCCTCTTCATTAGCAAGATGTCCTCATGCAGCGAAGGTGTCTATCAAGCTTCACATGTATATTTCGACATCACAGACTATCTCACTATCACAGACTCGGCCACTAAGCAGTCCAACAGTTCGTCAGGAACAAGCTGTAATTTCAATAGCCTATGGTCAGCCTTGGCCCGTGTTGTTTTTCTGCGGTATTACTGACACTGAAGCACTTACCTGGACTCGGCTATGCATTTCCCCGCCAACTAACAGTAAAGGGCAAACATTCAGACTATTATAAGCGGTGTATCAAATGCTTACTTAGCTCTCGGCCTCTTGATTCTGCAATCTAGACGGATATACAGAGCTCTGGCAAGCTATCTCAGTGCTAGTTCAGTCCGTAGCTTGCTTGCGGCAATACAAGTGTCTAATATATCATCGTTATGTTACCGTACCAACGTCTAAATCAACGATGTTTATTAAAATCGGGTCTATCTTCAGCAGGCATCTTCCACGAAAATTGTTTTCGGGGGCTGAGTGACTCAGAGCGTTCATCCGAGGCATGGCCGCGGCACTGCGTCAGATTCCATACATCGATTTGAGGAGGCGCGCGCGGACCTGGAGAACGACAAGAATCATCGCGTTTTCTGTTTTATACATACACAGTATGTTATCCAACCCAATGACGTGAAATGTTTTTTATCTTGATAATGTGGAACTTTGGCCAACATATTTTTGATCTCGTTTTATCAGAATTCAAGGGAAAAAATCACAAGTGTTTAATTTTGTAGCAGATGCGCTCCACCTGGTGTGGTACATGTGGCTACCATATTCATAATTATTGCCAATAATAATTTGTAAATATTATCACAGAAAACTGTGGTTAACACCAATCGTTCGTGAATGGGCTCCCTTACCGGAGCCCAACTACTTGATAAAGGTGTTTTTTTTTTTTTTTGTTTTTGTTTTTTTTTTGAATGGACGAGAAACAATGAGAATGTGATCTACATCTCTTTAATACTTAGAAACGGGATCTCCTGAGAAATTCCCAGACCCTAACGTAACTGACTCAGCATCATCAGAAGATTATCTTTTATATGATAAGTTGGTGTTTATTGGAAACTAGCATGATAAATAACCACGGAAAATAATTAGGGTACAAGTCTAGATGTGTGGCCCGTAGACTGCTCCATGAGTTCTGGCTAAATGATTTTGCAAAATTGTATATCTTGGATTAAAAATAGTATGTAATGTTTCAGTGAACTATATTTGCACCACATAAAGGAGAAATTCGTTTTTCCCTAATTGCCTGTGATAAGTCATCCTCTAAAAATAAAATTAAAAAGGGCAAGTAAAGGTTATGGGAAGAGAAAATTATGATACTTTGCTGCAATATATTCAATAACAAATTTCATCCGCTTAATTTTCATCACTCCCAATCCACCTACGTTATATTGGACATTGCGAACACCTGTCGTGAGGCAGCGAGTTAAGGCGTTAAAGTCAGGTATAAATAAAACGCCGAAGGAAATGAGAAGTGACGCGTAAGACGTAAATGCCCTAATATCTGTACCAGAACTGACAAAGTGATGATTGCTCTATAGCGCTCAGAGCATCTTCTGATAACGGCGATGAACTGAAACGATGAGTTGGGATTATTATTTGGTTACAGGATTGACCGTAAATAGGGCCTGGACTTCGAATGCTTGTGTGATCCATTCAAAAACAATAAATAAATAAATAAATAAATGACGTCATTAATTCTCGCCCGCCGATCCCACACACAAATTTGCCCTTTTAAATGAGTTCCAGAAAAACTGCTACTATAATAAACAGGATCTCAGAATTAGAAAAAATAACAACTTCATTTCAATTTTCGTAAATTCACCTGAGTTTCACCGATAACCAAGCAAACAAAACGGCCAATATAAAGATCCCGCAAGTGCTGCATAGGAACAACCAGCATAAACGTTACATCGGTGGTAATCAATGATACTTTTCACTTAGCAACGTCGCCATATTGAAAAACGCCGCAGCCCACCTGCCAGAATCAACCGCAGAGATCAAACATAGAAATGCCGGAAAATATTGTACAGGAACCACCTAAACTGGTTCAGGTATGCAAAGACAGGTCTTATTCATATGCAGTTAGAGCTCATTTTTGATAGTAATGCAGGATAGATGTACTACCTGTAGTAGAATCTTGCAGTGATTTACGTGCCACCTGCTCTGCGGGGAAAACTACAAAACGGAAAAAAGTCCACCACCATAAATGAACGAATGAGTCAGAAAACATGGGGTGTTAAGACCTATGGCTGCATCATACTTCTAAGGAAATTACTAACTTCATCATTTGATTTGATGCAAATTTGTGAATAATTTACCGCGTGTCTACATTTGGACGCATCTTACATACTAGCATGTATGATGGGTCCAAGATGTAAATTTCTTGTAAACGCTAACTTTGACGTTAGTGTCATTAGCTGTGCTTTCTGATAATGATATTGTTTGTTTCACTTTTAGCCCAGGGAACACAAGGCGAAGGTGCTAGTATGGTAAGCTTAACTTTTTGTATCAGAAACTACTGGGTAGTTTGTAAGTGCCAAACACAATAATGATGTTTTTAAATGTTGTTAATCACTAATTTTTAGTTTTGCAAAAGTTGCATATTAATATTTGAGCTTTTTAAAGCCAGATTTTCGTAAATTTATTGATCACATTTTTGAGGGGGAGATTTTAAAAAGCCGGTAGCTACATAAAGGCATCACATGCGAAAATTTCACTATATTTTTTATGCCAGGGCCGATCTAACAGTAGCAGACATGGATAGTTTGGAGGAAGCTTCCACAGTGGATGATATAAAGAAGTAAGCACCTTGAATTTCAATATTTAATTTTGATTTAGTCATAGCTGGAAAGTTTTCAGCAAAATTGTTTTCACACAGCCTAGCTACTGCATACTGAAGTAATATAAATTGCCATTTCTAGTTCATAATATGAATCATATTCAGTATTGGAGAAATCCCAGTAAATCCATCGTTGTTTTTCAGCATCTTGAGAACAACAGCCAGTCTGAATACAAATGGTGATGACACACTGAAGACTGATATCTTGTTAGATCTCTACTACTACACCATACAGTTTGCCAGAGACAATAACTTTACCAAGGAACAGACATCAGCATTTTTCTCCATTGTTAAGAGAGTTCATGATGTTGCCACAGGTGAGTTAATCTTTATTTCATATTTATTACATTTCACGTATATTACCATGAAATGTAAAATACTACTCTATCATACTGTAGTAGCATAACAGATTGTTTATTTTTGACAGAGAATTGAGTTTAAGCTGGTTTTGGTCCAAAACTTGTCACTGTAAAAACAACACTGCTGAACCTAGGTCATAGTTCTACTTACTGTTGGAGCTGTTATCATAAGGATCCTGTATCAGTTTTGAAATATTTCTCACCTTTTTCAATACACTGAACATGTGGCTGTCATTGGTACATTCTGTTCTTTCATGTCACCAGAAACTCCCTTTGGAAATGTAGAACAATGTTTCAAGCTGTTCAAGGACCTCATTCTGTGCCATGCTGTGAAGGTATTTTATAAATGTTCATAGATAATTTGAATTTGATTCAATCACACCGTAATCAGTTGCACCTTTCAAAATTATTATAAATATAGCTACTGCTTATATTTCTTCCTCAACATACATGTATTTCTTATTGTTTAGCAGGCAATGTCCCTCATTTTATTTCCTAAGGAATATAAAATAGAAAGTGTGTAAATCACATCATTTCAATTCACAATTTTGTAATTTCAGAGACCTCCTTTCAGCATTGACCTTTTTTCCCCTGATGAGTTGCGGAAAGTGACAGATTATGTCATCCACACATACTTCAGACATTATAAGCTTTACAAGTATGCCTTCACACCCATGGTAAGTTTACATAATATTTAATGTTTTATATTATAAATATATATAGAGAGTAAAATGTTTGTTCATTAATACTTTCTCTGGTAATAGCCTTTTTTTTGACAGTGCAGTGTCATTAACAAAAACTTGTTAAACAAATATAAAATGTGCTTTTACTGATTGTCATGTTATAGTAATGTGACCGCTCATTTTCCAGGTGCGACTTGACTTGTCGATGAATTACATAGGAGTTCCAGTCACATCTCCAGCGCCATCTGAAGGTATTGGCACCCATAAATAGTGGTTACTATCAATATTAGCTTTATGTCAATTAAATGTATACTTATTTGTGGGAATGTTTGTTTATACAATATATGCAGTTGTTTAAATGGTAGATTAGGCTTAAAGATTCAGTGGGCAGTAGACACAGATCAACAAAATATCAATGGATATGTCCCATCAGAGGAAAGCGTGTGTGTGTGAGATGGGTGCTTCAGAAAGTAAAGTCAGCTACGAGTGACCCTGGCCATCCAGTGCATAGTTTGTTCATGCCTGTTTCATCAAGATCACAATTACATTCCCTCAAACCAACCAACCTCTACAAGTAACAACACCAGTTTTTATCCAACAGCAACACATTTTTAATGAGCACAATCTAATGTATCAGGTTATTTTATTGACATATGGCATTAATTATTGTTTAAAACTATATATTGATATGACAGTTCATTATCATCTTATCTTATACATGAATACAATGTAAAAGAACTCATTTTTCAGCTGGAGAGGACGTAGCAGTGGAGACAGAACCTACTGAGGGGACAGAGGGGGAGGCACAAGATGCTGAACAAGCTCCAGAACCTCAAGAAGAACAGCCACAGACAGGTATAACATGATACTGCTTACATGGACTTATGTGTGCTTCTAAACTTAAAAAAAAATTATCTGGGTCCATCCCAATGAAGTTTTACATAGATCAGTCCAACTCCATGGGAACTTTTGTTGAATGCAATCAGATTTACATGCCTCCTTGTTTTCTAACGTACTTGTATAATCACCAGACTTTCTATATTCCACACAACACCAGGAGGATTTGTATTAGTCTGTTCCAGTTGCAGATCAGTAGAAGTGATGAATGTTTTAGCTAATTTTTCTTGCTGAATTTCAGAAGAATCCGAGTCTGCTAAAGAACTGCGCTCCATGATCCAGGCCCATTTAACAGAGGAGATGAACAAATTAAGACTTTCTATGGAAGAACAGATAAAAGTCACGGATGAGGCATTGAACAAAAAACTTTCTGCACTAGAAGGAAATGCTGCTGGCAAGGGTGGGCGAGCATCTAGTAAGGGGAAAAAGAAATAAATGTCTGCAGGTCATTGCACAACTCTGAACTATGTTGGCTATTAATAGCCAATTTCAAATTACACACTCCATGAGAGCATGTTTTCTAGAGGGGATAAACAATACCAAGGGCTGTTAATGTAATGGCATCCAAACAATGGAGCGATAAGTTGAAGGAGTAGGACAATTAAAAACTTTACAAGATTCATTTTTATCAAGCAATGAATGTATATATGTACATAAATTAAAATATAATATTGATAATACATATTTGCAGAATTGTTGTTGTAACATTGCTCAGGTTGTAAGCTAAAACTAACCTTGTTTTTTTTCACAAATGCCTAGACTAGACACAAACAAAACTTTCGTTAAATATTTGTATTAAACATAAACAGTTGTAAAACTGTTCTTTGACATAAACTGAACAGTTAATTTTACATCATTTGTATGACTATGGTCTTATTAAGGGCACTTATTGACCATGAAAGTGAAGAAAAAGGTTAAAAGTCTCCTCCAGTATCTTTGACAGATCTAATCACACTCTTGGTGAACAACATACTGGCAATGCTAGCCAGTTACCATCTTCTTAGTTTCCAAATTATAGTGAAGTATCCATGAAGGTTGGCAAATCATAACAAATCAACCTGTTATTTGTGGAGGAAAGGAGGCAACCACCCTAGCTCATCAACACTGTAGCAGACATACTGAAGTTGTCATCCTTTTGGTCATGAATGATTTAAAAAATTTTCAAGGACCTGTATTAAATTGTGTTCAGGCATTCCAAGTGATTAGAAACAATTTTTAAAGCTGCCATTTTGAATTTACAGTCTGTTTGGAAAAAAGTTCATTGTTCCAGCAAAATTTCTTGTAACTGCCAAATCTGATTTTAGATTCCGTAAGCTGCCATGGGGGCTAACATTACTTTTTTCCTGTTCATTGTGTATCTATTTTCCTTTTCTTACCACAAGGTTGTGACTCATCTTGTAAATGTGTATGTGTGGGTAGTGTTACAGGATCTGTAATTTGTACATCCCTTATTCCTCCTGTCTGGAATTGCAAAATTATGGATGTTGTATTAAAAATTATACGCATTAAACATTCTATCAAGGCCAAGGAAAAGAAACAATTTTTATCTAGTATGATGATATAAAGAACTTAATATGTAATTTCATATATATCTTTCTATCACGTTACTTATCAAAGATATTAATATCCAGTTTCATCAAACGGACAAATGTGAGAAAGAAATTCTGAATAACTGAGATCCAAATGTCCCATAACATATTTGATCTAAACATGTTAGGTGTTTCTATTCAGTACTTTAAAACATGCGACAGATGTGTCATATTAAAAACAAAACATCCCAGACATATCTCACCGTGACTTGATATGGTATCGTGTCCTCCTTCCTGTAGGGCGACTTGTATAATTTGGCCCATCTCTGGCTGTTTTCCCAGTACAGGACCACCCTGACTGTACTGGCATGCCCCCAGCTCTCACCCAGGGCCGGAATCAGGTACGACTGTCCTTGTTGGTCAACACTGAAACGGGTGGTCATCTGGTTGGTCAGCACCACCTGGAATTGTGGGATGATTCTCAAATATCCTGGGATAGATGGTTTTAATGTAATAAATTGGTAAACTGTAAAAAGGAACACTGGTGTACATTTCTGCAAATTTCAGTTAATTTGAATTTAAAACAAGGCAGCAAAGCTGTCAAATGTACAGACAAAAAGCAGAAAATAAGCTGTAAAAACACTGGTATACATTTCCATATTTTTTGTTAGTTTGAATTTAAAAAGAACAAGAATTGCACAATGTACTAGAGTAATATTAAACAAACATGTTAGCTAGCATTATTTAGAATCATTGCTGCACATAATATGAACTTCTTAGGCTAAAACTGATAAAACATTTTGTTTGAAAAAAGCTTAGACAAGGTCATAGGCTAATGGAAACAGGTCATAAATTATTGCAGACAGGTCACTTACAGCTAAAGTGTGTTCATTTGCCAACCGAATGAAACTCTGAGACATTCCATTAAGTAGCCTGGTTCTTAGAGCAAGATCGTCAAAGTCATGCCGGAAATGAAAAGCTATGCTGTCTACAATTATGAGCTTGACCTAAAATAAAGAAAAGAAAGGAAAGTTTCACATGTATAAGTTCTAATGATCTTGGATCCATAATGCACACAAGGAGTCCAAGTATAGTTCTATTTCTTACAAGTTTCTCATATATCTTGGAGGGTTTTGATATATGTCTCTCAGCACTGATGATGTCTATTATAAAATCTGACGTGCTACAGTATGTGTATTTTTTACTGTAAATGTGCTGTACCATGCCCAAGTAATTTTTACAAGATTAACAGCTGCAATCATGCAAGCTAATAAAAGGAATATACAAGGAGACTTCACATATAATATTAATAATATGGTCTTATATGAGTTACACCTGCGAGTGTTCCTTTAAAAATTCTGGAAGAAGATGCACTGTGGCAATGAGCTCTACATAATTATGGCATCTGTAGTAATGGATTCCTTTTAATATGGACTCCACAGAAAAAGTCTTCAAGGCTCCAACTTGTTCTGGAAAGAAAGTCACAGGATTTATCATACCATTGCATTTACCAAAATTTATACTATTTTAGATTAGTGTTGGTACATGAGGATACATTTTTGTTGGGTTTGTAATACTGAAACTGTTAGAATGAAAATTGTTCATGTTATTAGAAATATCTAAAGGAAGTTGCTGTGCTTTCTTTCTCACCTGCACTATTCTCTGCTGCTGCAATGTGCTGGCAGTGTTCGACTGTAGCCTTGGCAACATCTATTAGTCTGTCTACTATAAAGCTTCCCTCTGTGTCTATATAAACCGCCTCTCCCCCTAGACCCCCAAAACACTCTGGAATCTGTACATCAACTGAGAGTTGAAAACTACAGAAATAAAACAATAATAATTATAAATAAAATAAATAAATAAATAAAAGTATAAAATATGAAATACACAAATATATCTTATTAAAAAAGTCTGTCTTTCCCATATTATAGTGATCAAAATGCTTCAGGGACATTTTATTCCTAAAATTATCATTAATAAAAATCCTGTGTTCAGGTTGAAACAAAATAAGCAGGTGTCCTTTTCAAATATTAAATCTCTTAATAATTAACATTAGGACACGAGGGGCAGTGTAATTAAAAATTGTGGCATACTGGGCACATCAAACAATAAGGTAAGTCCAGACTAGACTACCACATGTATACTATTGAGAGAGTTTCATTGCTCATCCAGGATTGAGATGTCACTATATAGAAAAATATAAATATAATACTGGATTTATGATATTATGCAGCAACGATCCATCATTGCAACTGATACCACGAATCTTCAGTGAGGATATGTTTTCCCTTCCCTGACATTTAAGACCCATTCACAATGAAACTATTGATCTAAGGAGATCAATCCAACTCATTGGGTACTGTCCCTGAATGCACACCATCTCAAATATTGATTCAAAATTTAATGTATTTTTAATATGGATTCCACAGAAAAATTCTTCAAGGCTTCAACTTGTTCTGGAAAGAAAGTCAGAAAATTAAAAATTTACATATGTTAATAATGTTAATCTGCTTGGTCATATGGATAATGGACATACACATAAGGTACAAAGTAATACCTCATCTGTGTTTTCCCAATACCAGGTGCCCCACAGAACTCGGTTGTCTTGGTCAGTGGGACCCCGCCCCCCAACATGTCATCTAGCCTCTCTGAGAATGTGATAATGTACTGCTGCAGGCTCTCATCTCTCAGCATATCTAATGCTGTTCGTGCTTGAGAGCAACTGGATGAATGTCCACTGCCAGGTTTTGTTGAGGAATGATTTTCAATAGTCTGCAGAATATCCAGGGCTGCTTCTTTGGATATTGATAACTCTGAAAGAAATGCCACAGGGGAAGCATTAAATTAAAAGAGATAGTTTAGTTGTCAGTACTTAAAAAAGATACTGATAATCTGGGCCCTGTAACTCGAAGGCATTATGCATTGCAAGCATCTCGATTCCACAACTCGCCCATACAATACATTTTAGCTGCTATGTGATACTGCTTTTTTGCCATATGCGATGCTTTCGAGTTACGGGGGCCTGGTCTGATCTAATGGAGCTGAGATTTTATTACTGTGCCCCTGCAGGGACAACGTGTGGGGAGGCGTGTGAGAGGTGGACATGCCATTACAGGTAAGAGCAGTCTTCCTTTCATGTAAGGTCTACCATATTTGAGCCTGGGACCAGTTGATACTCGGTTCTTTTATTTTGAATGGCCCGAATTCTCCAAATTTAAAGTAAAAATATGAACAATGATATTATGAATAGCATTTCAATTTTCAATAGTTTTCTCACTGAATAAAATATCATGCATCAAATGATCAATGTGAGTGCATGTGTGTGTGTGTGAGTGTGTGTGTATGTGTTTATGTACAAAAACGATATTAGTTAATACGTTAGATTATATCTTTGAGAGGATTAGTTTCTTCAAAAATATGCCACCTTTACTAAGTTCCACTGGTCTGACATCTTTTATGTCACCCACTGTGATAAAGCCAGCAGCAACAAGCTTTGAGCGATAGATCGGCGGCAGGGGAAAACTGCTAAGTTCCCTCTCCTTGTTTTCCATGTCTCAAACAGATAAATGTGGGTCACACTCGAAATTCGCGCAAGTCTTTTCGCGCACAATGACGTCACGGAAATTGCATAGTTAATTTACTCATTTTAACTTCTTCAAAAATAACAATTTAATAATATGAAGTCAAAATACAGACGCGAGACCATACAAACAAACTAACAAAAATTATTTAGCCAAAGAAAACGCAATTATTTCTAAATGGAGGTGAGAACCTTTCTGACGTCATCTGTTTATGTGTAGGTACACAAGAGGTGTGAGAAAGCCGCAGAATTTTGTAGATCGGGGATGGCAAAACCGGGCAATGCGTCGAGTTATGTGCAGTTTCTGGAAGAATTCTGCAAAGAGCATAAAGGCACATACACAGATGCCGATCGTCTGCCAATAAGAATCGAAAATCTGACCCTCTCCATCACAGAAGTTGAAGGAGAAAGTCTTGATTTGGCCTTGCAGTACCTGGAGACTAAGTAAGTTAAAAATACTCCATATCATAAATATTCACGAATTAAACATCAGATGTATCCGATCACTTTAATTGTTACTCTACAATTAGCCAACGTATATATCTATCATAGGCCGTGCAAGGTAACAAGGGAATCTCTTAAAACTCTATATATCCAGTGAAATTGTGTATGATTTGCCGACGAATATAAACAAATGCAAATGCACAGATTTAATACGTTAAATGTTAGTGGAAGTTTCTGTGCATTGCTCATTCAGGCCAGTTTTGATGATAATGTCACAGCAAGTGGAATAGAAGTCAACATATATTTGATTTGATCTGCATAGCTTTCACTTATGATGTTTAGTTTTTAAACTAAATAAGAATATTTTAGTTCAAGTTGTTACACTTTTAATACACCAGCATGCAGGTATCGGTAACGTTAGCAACCTACTCAGCTGTCTTTGGAAGTGCAGTAAAACAATAACATATTTGACTTTTGCTTTTCTAGGACATTTCTTCTATGTCCAAGCTGTCTTATGAATAAAAAATGATATTGAATAAAATCAGACACCAAACTGGTAAACATGATAAGTAACCTTAGGTTATTCCTGACTTGATGAGCAACAGGCTATTTATGTTATAATATTTAATTAACCATCACATCTAGAGTCCTATGTACAAGAAATTCAGATGAAATTTGCATTCAGGGTTGAGCTCAATAAAATTCTTCAGTTGATCAATGGAGCATAGTTTCATTTAGATAAAGGTCATTAAAATGATAGCGATGCCATGAATGCAACCTGCAACCTTGTTAATTTATTTTTTAAATTTTATTTGATCTGTTTGATCTGATATTATAATATACTAATCAAATCATGTCTTATTTAATAAGTTCTCCTAATTGTTTCATATGAAAAATGCATGAAAGTAATGATGGTCACAGACATATAGAATGCATATGTAACCAGTTAGTTAACACATTTGATTGGGTGCTAATGAAAACTCAGTAGAAATAACTGTCTATCAAGTATCAGTGCTATGCATTGTAAAGGAAGGCATTCCAGACATTTATACTGTATATTATAAAGCATACAATACTAGTTTATCAATGTTTGAATATCTTTATAGTTTATGTTGGAGGTCTTCTGTTCTGACAAATTTCCCCTGAAGCACCCTCAGGCATTTTACTGTAGCCAAGCAGCCAAGTAATTAAGTCTTAACAGGCAGCCAGTTCTTGGTAAATTCCCCAGTTTCCCATTAGGAACTTGTCCAATGTGGCTGACAACTATTCTAATAGGCATGTTCTCTATCACCCTGAGTTTCTGGGTACTGACAGTGACTTTCCTCTACCCAGTATATGTTCTCTATCACCCTGAGTTTGAGAGCACTGACAGTGCCTCTCCTCTACCCAGTATAAGTTCTCTATCACCCTGAGTTTCTGGGTACTGACAGTGACGTTCCTCTACCCAGTATATGTTCTCTATCACCCTGAGTTTCTGGGTACTGACAGTGATGCTCCTCTACCCAGTATATGGTCTCTATCACCCTGAGTTTGAGAGTACTGACATTGACTTTCCTCTACCCAGTACTGGTATGTGTTCTCTATCACCCTGAGTTTCAGAGTACAGTTTGTGCCTCTCCTCTACCCAGTATATGTTCTCTATCACCCTGATTTTGAGAGTACTGACAGTGCCTCTCCTCTACCCAGTATATGTTCTCTATCACCCTGATTTTGAGAGTATTGACAGTGACTCTCCTCTACCCAGTATAAGTTCTCTATCACCCTGAGTTTGAGAGAACTGACAGTGCCTCTCCTCTACCCAGTATATGGTCTCTATCACCCTGAGTTTGAGAGTATTGACAGTGACTCTCCTCTACCCAGTATAAGTTCTCTATCACCCTGAGTTTGAGAGTACTGACAGTGACTCTCCTCTACCCAGTATATGTTCTCCATCACCCTGAGTGACAGAGTATCAGCTGGAACTGTCCTTTTACTGATCTTTGTCAGTGTTTCATCCACTGGAAACTATAAGCATATGAGCATATATATACTGGTTTATTGATGAGTGTTTCTGAAAGACTATGAAACTCAGGCTATGAGGGATTCATCTGTACTGGCAATTTCCCAAGCAAACCACAGTACACAGTACACAGCAGTGACTTCTGGCAGCTAGCAGGAGCTTATATCCTGGGAACACTTTAGGCCAAAGATGACAACATCCCATTTATATGTGACAGTGTCATTATTTCTTTGCTGAGAAAATTACTTTCCCCAAAGCATGTATCTGCACTGAAATACTTCCACATAGATCTCAAAAACTTCTTTAGGGATGACTAGCGATTACAAATCTTTTTACAGTATTTTTTAAGCACTGCATCATGTTTTGCCCTTTAAAAACTTTTCCATCATTTCACATCCTTTGAAAAAATAGAAAAAGGAAATCACTCCATAGAATCTTATACTTTTTTTGAAGGAACAGATGTCGTGTGAAATGTGCTGGAGAAATGCTTTTTGGAAACATAAAAAACTGAAAGGTCTTTTGCTCTGTATTTGATGAAAGAAATTCAAATGTAAATTAAACCACCATGGTTTATATATTTACATCATTGTACCATATATATATATTTAAGAGACTTGACCAAAAGAGTTCTAACATAAGATGTGAATATTGGATATAGTAATATTAACATTTAATCTTCAGCTTATGCTATAAGATAATTACCTACTAAAGTGATTCACTGTTCTTTCATGCCAAAACCCGAACCATTCCCATAATAAATCACGCTGAGTTGAAGTCTGAAAGTTTCTTTTCTATGTTTGGCCTATGATAGAAAGTGTTTTAATGGAAATGTGAACATGTTTAATTTATTATTATATATAAGAAATAGGACCCTAGGTTCCCCGGGGGGGTGGGGCTGTCCCTGGGGGGTGGATGTGAGGATGTGTGGGGATAAGCAGTGGCTGCCCATCGACCGCCTCTAGTAATTATTTTCATTGTATGACTTCATTATCTGACAAACAGTTTTGAAGCAGGTTATAATCTGAAGGATGAAATCAAGTTGTCTGCGAATGGTGCCAATCAGTCAGCTCTTGTTTTCTTGACCTTACTGTACAACAGATCAATCTGCTGCAGTTAAGTGGGAGAATGAGCTAAAATAGCCAGCTAATTGAGTTCTGCCCATTGTGTTTGGTGGTTGTAGCTTAATGAAAAGCTGTACGCCATGCAGTTCTTTACATGCAATGTATTCAATAAAGGATTTAATATCCGCCAAATTCACTTCAGGTGAATGTATGGAAGTTTTTTTCCTTTATTTTACCTGGATTGCTTATGATGATGATGATCAGGGACAGATCCAGCTATTGCTGAATTAAAGCAGACAGCAAATTACTGTATTCAGTATTTTACACTATAGAATTTTTAATATATATATCTAGGTAAAGTCTAAGCTTTGAATAAAAGATAACTCAATTTTATTTATGTAGACTACAGATAGCTATAACACATAGTAGTTTGCATATAAATGAAAGATGGTTAATTTGATGGAAAATGTTTTTTCTTTTATTCTTTCCACAAGGGTCATTTGGCATGCTTCTTTACTTATTTCTATTCATCCACTCTTCAGGAAGATTATCTTTGAAAGGTTGTTTAAGATCTTATTCAGATGTGGTTTTACAGGTATTCTGTAGTAGACAAATGAAAGGAAATGTGCCAAGTTGGTTGTCATAAGTGAGAACAGACTGTAGACAGATCACTTTTGTTAAGCAAGTATTCCGAAAAAAAAAAAAATAGGTAGAAGCTCTTTTTTATGGTAGTGTGTGTGTGTGTTTGTGTTAGAGAGAGAGAGAGAGAGAGAGAGAGAGAGAGAGAGAGAGAGAGTATATGGGTGCCTTTGTGTATGTTTGTGTGTATGCACCTGTGTGTGTGTGTGTGTGTGTGTGTGTGTGTGTGTGTGTGCACGTGTGTGTCAAATCCAACCTTCAGTCTGCATAATCACAAGTTTAAATTTAACCTGCATATGTCCTTGCCTCCTTACTAATACGAGGTTTGTAAAAAAAACATTCGATTGAAGATGATTAAAATTCTGATTTTAATATGTGGGCTTGATTCTGAAATAAATGCTATGTTTTCTTACTCAAATTTATAGATCAAGAATTACTGTTTGCTTTTGTAAATCAGCTGCATGGATTTTACAAAAACTTTGTACTGCTCAGACATTTGAGTGAATGGACCAGCTATCCATGTTTTCTTCAGTTTAGCACAGTGCCCTGGCAGGTGAAGCTTTAAAAACTCCAGTACGGCAGCTAAATTGAAACTGGGTACTTGAACTGGACTGAACATCCTGACAGTGCTCTCATCTGGTATTGATCCCCTCCAGGTCTTTTCATCATCTGCCACTTCACACTGCCACAGAGGAAAAAAAATACAGCATCAGTCCTTGAGTGTGGAAATTTGTTTTTGGGATTTTTATATCATTTAGGCTTGTGATGAGAGAAAGTTGGAATGGTTTATGGCTGTCTGTAGCTGAGATGTACAGGAAGAAGTTCAGGGGTAAAACAAGAGTGCCTTGTAGAGCTGGGCT